AGGGAGTCGAAACCCGGGGGTACCCCCCCCCCCCCGAAGCGCAGCGTGGCTGCGTCACCTGAGGTGACGCAACCACGTCAGGGGTGTTGCCCCGATCGTCGGAAAACTATATGGTTTTCCCTCCGACGATCAGGGCCACGCCTTCAACGTGATCGACGTCGCGTGTCACTTCTGGTGATGCGCTGGCAGCACGCACACACACATATCCACAGACAGCTCTTGGAGCCCAGCAAGGCTCCCCCTCCGGTAAGAAAAATTGACTTGGCAACCCTAAGGGCACTGTTGGCATTTAATGGCATATACAATGTTAGAAAATGAGCAAGTGAATGAGCCTGAGATGGCATAGTTGATAGTGTTGTCTAGGTGTATGTGGCAGCAGGGTTGGCATCTGGGTTTATTGCAAGCTCTGCTGTGTCCATGTTCAAGTTAAATGTTGTATTATTGTGGATGAGTTGTTTAAAATTGGGAGGCTGTCTGAGTGCAAGAAAAGGCTTGCACCCACCAGCCCCAGTGCTTGTGAAAGAACTGTCATTATTCAGTATAGGTTGTAAGCCATTGCTGATGCATTCAACTGTTTTAGATGGAAAGCTGTATGAGACTACTAGTGGTGTTATTATCTCTTTTGGGCCTGTCTTCTAATAGGCTTTCTCTGGGTAACATTCTGGGTTTGTTAACCTGTTTCTTGACTTTATCAGGTGGATGTTTTAGTTCCAAAAACGTTTGTTATAAATCCCTCAGGATCTACATGCAAACATAAAGAAGCATGCTAGGTTGTAAGCTGGTGCGCTTCAGAAGAAATCAAAGTTTCTGTTTCATGCTCCCCACTCATAGCCACCCAGCTCACAACTCTCCTTGACCTGCGTTTCTATTTTGAATTGTTCTCCTACAGGTTCCCACCCCCTCCTTTCCAAGCAAAGGCACACACGGCCCTTCTTTCCACCGCTCGAGGAAACGGTTTTCCTGATTGGCTAGGTCCATTCGCTATTTTGCATTTCACGTCGGGTGGAAATTTCCGTCATCCCCACATTTCCCACCCGTCTCTCCGGCCTCCCCAGCCAATAGCATCTCGCAAGTCCGTCCGCGCTGCTCCCAGCGAAAGCCAAAGAGCTCGCGCCATTGCGGCACGTGAGGACCGGGCACGTGTTCCCGTTATGTAAAAGGAGGAAGGAAGGGCAGGCAGGGGCCCCCCGCGTGGACTTTACCGCGCATGCGCGGGGGGCGGGCACTAGCTGAGGACGGAGGCCGTGGTGGCCGATGAGGACGCCTGGGTTCGCCATCGAACGACAATGAAGCAGCAGCCGGCAGCGGCGGCTATGACGACGAGCCCCAATGGCACTGGCACTGCAGTCCCGGCCTTTCTCAGTAAGCTCTGGGCGCTGGTGGGCGACGCGCCGAGCAATCAGCTCATCACCTGGAGCCAGGTAAGCGCCTCCTCCTCGGAAGGCCGTGGCCGACAGACTCCCTTTCGTTGCACAGCGTGACGGGAGAGGAAGAAAAGGACTCTTCACCCGTCCCCCTCGGGGCTCCGCGGGTTCGCTCTGCCCCTCTCCCTCTTCATATGAACCCCCCCCACACACACGCACGCACACCAAAGGAAAGTGCGCCTGTGGAGGAGAGCAGGGGGGCGTGGTCAGGCCTCCATCACGCTTCTGTTTCCTGGCGGGCCTGGGAGGAGGGAGAAGAGCGGCCTGGGCCGGGGAGGATTCATGAAGGCCTCTCTGACCATCCCGCACGCACCTGGGGAGAGGGAGGGAAGGCGCTTCGCCACCGCAGGGCTGTCAGATGAGACACGAAGGCCGTTCTTGGTGCGGGGCACAATGTGGATGTGACGTGCGACTTCGGTCGTGACATAGAGAATTGTGGCTGGTTGTGTTTACAGCGGGGAAGTCGGTAGTATTGCGAGCTGAGGTTTCTCTAGCCAGCGTCTCGCCTTGACCGCAGACTTGGTGGCCGGTCCTAGAGAGCAGTTATTTTCCTGGTTATAGACTGTAAAAAAAAACCCACAAGAAACAAACCCTGTGTTTCTTCAGGTAGAGGCATAGAGAGCAGGCCTTGGAAAGGGGATCTTAACGGGCAAACTAGACAGTACCAGAGGAAGTGATCCTTAAAGTAACAGCCAATGAAGATCTTTCAGAACAGCAGGAGGGAGAGAGGAGGAAATTGCAGATTGCAGACAGACATCCTTCTGGTCCCATAAATTATTTGTTGGATCCAGGATGGTTACTGGTATTTGGGAGTAAGTTGTATTGGACGTTGGGATTTACTTTTGAGTAGTAATATGCAGGCTGCAAGTCAATTCACTGTTAGATGAGTATAGTTCTGCTTTAGTGAGCAGAAGAGTAGTGTGCAAATTTTGTCTACACTTCATGTATGCTTCTATGATTGGAATGGTGTAGAGAGGAGCTAGGGAGATCAAGTTTTACACATAGCATTTGTATGACTAAGGCAAATGGTGCCAGGAATCTAGGAGACATTCATATTTTGCATTGTCAGTGTGGCAGGATGGATGGTTTATTTTTAGCATGTAATGATTTGAGTCCATAATATTCTTGTTCCTAATTTTCGATTATGAAGTTAAGGGTTCAAGAAATTGTTAAGTCATTCTAATAAATACAGGAAAATGAGTCTACAACCTAATCGTATCCCTGACTTGATAGGATTCCTAAATCCTTCTTGTGCTTGTGAAACACTGGAACAGTGGATCTGTTTGCTGTTGTGGCTGCATTTATGATAGACTATCACCTGGAAGTCTTTCTGCAGATACATGCACAGGGCTTGCTCCCATCTCCTATGTGACTGTAACTGAACATCTAAAGGTGCTGCCACAGAGTAATTGATTTTTCCCCCTTGAGTCTCCCTTATAATCTACCTTGAGTCTCAGTGGGAAAGGTGGGTTATAAATGAAGGAAATCAAATAAAAACAAACCCGCTTCCTATTTTTTCTGTTCCTGCATCTCATATATGGTTCTGGCATTAGTTGCTGCCATCCTGGATGCAGGGCTTCTGATGTGGGTGGGGCTTTTGGCTAATTCTAGCAGCTTGTGCATTTTTGGGAACTGGGTGGGGTGATGGTGTGATATTTTATTTATTTAGAATATTTATAAACCATCTTGCCAGCTAGGATTTTTCTGGATAGCATTTCTGTCATCATTAATTTTTTTATTTGTGTGCATGGCTCCAGTGGTATGCAATGCTACGATTAGTGGGTGGTGGTGAACTTACTAGGGACAGGGAGATCCAGCATAGTATAGTAATCACTGTGGTATAGTAATCAAAATGTTAGACAGACTGGAGAGACCTGAATTCAAATCCCTACTCATTTGTGATGTTTACTTGGTGTCTTCAGGTAGTCTGTTCTACTTCATAGGTTTAAGGTAAAATGGAGGGAAGAACCATACTATGATGCCCTGCGCTCTTTGGAGGGGCACAGGAGTGGCTGTGATAGCAATGCTGTCTCTTGTTTCTACAGCTTGTGTATTTAACTCTTGCAGCTGAGATGGCATAGGATTAACTGCTACATAAAATATAAGCGCTGCTGCCATAGCAACTGTAGGATCAATGTGCTCAAACTAGTGTCATGTATTGGCTAAGAAAATGACTTGTGAATGAGTCTAGGAGTTTCCAGCTCGCACATTGTCTGTGCCCTGAATTCTCGAGACAACTGTTCTTTTCAATATGAAGATAATATTGACCAGTGTTTGAAGGTTATTTTATAGATTATTAAGGTGTATGATATGGTTTGAATATCTGAAGTGTTTTTTATCAATATTGCAGAGTGGCAATTGGTTGAGGTGGTTGGTTAGAAGGGTAATTTAGCAATAGTGATATGTATCCCCCCCCCCCTTGCCATAAAGTCACAGCTGAGTTATGGCAACCCTGTAGGGTTTTCAAGGCAACAGTTGCTTAGAGGTGGCTTGCCATTGCCTGCCTCTGCGGAGCAACCTTGGACTTTCTTGGTAGACTCCCATACAAATAGTAACCAGTGCCATCCCTGCTTAGCTTCTGAGATCTGACAGATCAGACTGGCCTGGGCTGTCCAGCTCAGGACACCCTTTCTAGTATGGTACATAAAAAGGTCTTCACATGTGTCAGCCTACAAAATATATACCAGAAGTCTACAGTCAGGAAATTGGTTTATTATTTAGTATGGTATGAAAATCATGTAAAACAATCTACAGCATCATATATATATATATATGCCCTAGCATATTGGCACTTTCCAATTCCCCCATTGGCTGTGCTATACACTCCATCAGCCATTGGTCCATCAACTACCACTCAAGAGTACTTGCATGCCATTGGGTGGGTGCTAGGTCTGCTCCTCTCCCTCGCCCACTGCCAGCTTGGCCATTTCCACAATGGGCCTTATTCCTAGTTAGACAATAATTCCTGTGTATGCTGTAGACATACTGTGAGGCAAAGCACCTGTGGCTTCCCTCTCAAGGGTTAATGTGAATAGAAACAGGTCTCATCCAACTTGCGGGTGTTACTAATTGGTCTCTTGTCCTTTTCATCTTCAAGGCCAGAGATGAAGGGAGCCTGTGGCCCTGGGGCATTCTGGGAAATCTCCAGGAGTCCCCTGGAGATTCCTAACACCAAATACCTCAGTAACCTTGCAAACCAAGTCATTTGCATAACTATGGCTGGTAATTGACATAGCTTCCTGCCCTTCCAGAGAGAAGAGAAAGAAACCAGAAACACTTTAAAGCTGTAGGATGTGAGGAGGAGAGTCAAGGGTGGTGAGTTAATTTTCTAGAGGCTTCTCCTGAAAAGCATTCTTATTGGATATCATCACCTGAGGTTCCTGAGCCAAAAACTATAATTGAGCTAAGGCCCTAAAAGAAAGGAAGCTCGCTGGGATCCTGATGGACTAAAGGCCTGAACTATGACCTGTTTGAATTGCTATTGCTAGCAATGTACAGAACACTTAAGCTTTGGCCTTTGACTCTTGACTTTAAAGTTGGTGCCGTCTAAGGCAACCCCAAGAAGTGTTAGACAGTTGAGCTAACTTTCTTGTTTTCTTGCTGCATGGTTTTGGAGTATGTGTTGCCAATAGAATAATTTTTTTATATTGACAGAAACCAAAATAAACTTTATAAAAATTTCTTTTAAAATCAAACAATGGTCTGGTTATTGGTGTACAATTGCCCTGGGGTCCCACAGGGTTCAGGCATGGGCTCCTTGATGCAAACACAATATTTTCATATTTTTTTTGCTTAAATGTTAATTATTTTGGCAAAATTTAGCTATAACATGTTTAATGAAAACACATCCTGAAATGTGGGATACAGAACTCTAGAAATAGCTCTGGGAGGTGGGTTGCAAAAATACACCTTCCTTGTGGCCTGGGAATCTAGGTGGGGATCCAAACAGTTATTTTGCTTTCTGCCTTGATCTTTTTTCTTCTTCTCAGGTGGCCAGAGTTAAAATATATGTACTGTAGTAGGATAGGGTGCAGCAGCTTGCAATCCTTCCTAAAATATTTGGGTGTATTTGCAGGGATTAAAAAAATGAAGACATTTCTATTTCTGAGTTATATAAATATGCCAAATACAAGTTTGTATGCTAATTGCAATAGCTGGAGGTCTGAATTCTAAACTAGGCAACCCAGCCACATTGGCCAACTGTCCCTAGCCCTACTTCCCTCTTGTCTGTCTTCTACTATATTCCTCCCAGAGGCATGCAGTCCTTTCTGTCCTGGGTTGTATGAGAGGTTTGGAAATACTGCTTTCTCTCTGGCACTTCTTCCACATATTCACCACGTCAGTCGAACATATTGTCCGTACTTAACAGCCCATCTTAGACAGCTATATTTTTTACGGGCCATGAGTGGCAAATATCTACTTGTCTTCCAAGTTAAAACATCACCTTACCAGCAACACCTGGCCTCCTAACAGAGACACAAACCCAGGGACCAAACCCACATGCCTGCTGTGTCCCTATATCTACTCAGGCAGTATTATAGTACCCCATAATATTAGCTGCAGTACACCATCTTACTCATCCTCCATTGTGAGAAGTGGCACCATGTATCAGCAGTGCCATTTGGCTCTTAAGTAGGGTTACCAGTTCTTACCTCCTCATTGGTAGAGGGTGGGAGGGAGCTTTCTGGGAGTGGGGGGCAGGACGATGTCACTGTGCGCAACATCCCCAATCTGATGCCATCATGCTGAAGTGATGTCATCATGCCGGGGACGTTGTGCTGTGATGCTTTGGTATTAGGGGCAAAACTCTTCAGGCACCATAGAGATTTGCCCCAAATACCAGAGCATCATCATGCAACGTCCCTGGCATGACGATGTCACTTCCATATGATGTCATCACATTGGGGACGTCACACTAGGTTATGGCTGCTGGAAGCAGAGCTTCTCCCACTGGCTGGCAATGGGCAGGAGCCTGTGAAATTGGGATCCCCTGCTTC